AAAAAAAAAAACAACAAAAAAACAAAAACAAACATAAACTTTTTTTAAACTTAGATTTTCGTACCGTTAATTAAGAATTTCATGAAATTACATTTTATATGTAGGCCCTATTTATATTTTGAATAGGCTACATAGAGCTATGTAGATCATCCATTGTAACAAAATTATTAACTTTTAATGTTCTCTAATTTTCAACCTGCATGACCTGATCCGTACTTTATGGCATTTTTCTTTTCAGGCTCACAGATATTCATAAAGCCATGATCCGAGTGATACGAAAAATTAAGTTTTTTGTTGCAAGACGAAAGTTTCAGGTACACATTTTCTTCCAATCGGTTGCCAATATGTATAGAGAGGCAACATATTACAAATGTTATTGTTTTGTCTTATCTATCATGTCTGTGAAGGCAATAACAGGCTGATACTTCATAGGTTTGCTACAGCAGTCCTTGTCAGTTTCAGTGCCTTAGACTACGTCACAGTTGGTTTCTGCAGTCTGATTATTCTGTCAGTGTTGTGAAAGACTGAGACACTTGATAAAATTTCTCCCCACTCAGGAATCGAACCCCGTCTCCTGTGTGTGACAGCTAAGCACCTAAGAATGCTGCACCACATACTCCGATGTAGAATTAATGTACAAGTGCAACTGTTTAAGTATAATATATTTAGACCTAATAATAATAATAGATAGCATTTGTATTATAGCGCAAATCCCCGCTCAACAGCAAGCTCTGCGCTTCTTAATCTATTAGTACTATTACCCCAGCGCGCAGACCTGAAAGCATTCTGAAACAAACTCAACTTCCTGGGAAGCATACAGTGCAAGCAGCCATTTATAGGCGCTAAAACACTAACATAATATTGACAAGATCTTTCGCTGTCTATGGCCGGGTACCCATTCCCACCTGGGTGAAGTGAGGAAAATTTGCGTAAAGTGCCTTTCCCAAGGACTGCAACGTCGGGCCTGCGGCTCGAACCCCCGACCCCACAACCTCACGATTACGAGTCCGGTAGCCTAACCACTATATATATATATAAAGGGAATGCTTATTTAGGCCACATATGGCCTAAATAAGGTAAGGGAGGGGGGTATAGCTTATTTAGGCCAC